GTGGGTTGAGATAAAAACAGTTTAATAATTGAAATAAAATAATAATAACAATAATAATGTAATAATAATACACAAAGCAAGTGATGAACAGTGCTATTGCTCACCACCCACCGACCAATGCCCAGCCAGTCCCTGAGCAGTGGCCCCCTCCAGCCAGCTTTCCCCAGTTTATGTACTGAGCATGACATCCCATGGTATGGAATGTCCCTTTGGCCAGTTTGGCTGTGCCCCCTCCCAGCTTCTTGTGCACCTGCAGCCTTCTCAGTTGGTAGAGCATGGGAAACTGAAAAGTCCTTGGCTAGTGTAAGCATTACCTAGCAACAACTAACACATCGGTGTGTTATCAACTTTGTTCTCCTCCTAAATCCAAAACACAGCACTGTACCAGCTACTAGGAAGGAAATTAACTCTATCCCTGCCGAAACCAGGACAATGTGACAGCTCGTGGGGGCTTTACTCCTCACAGGAGCCAGGCCTGCCTCAGCCCAGTGCTCCACAGGTCCCACTGGTGCTTCTGCTCCAGTCTCTCTCTCACGCTGAGATGTCCTAGTGCACCCAGCAAGTCTAGCTCAGAAAGCAGAGGGTGCTTGCCTCTGGCAGGTCTGGCTCAGCATGTCAGGGACGGGGACAAGCACACTGCTCTGAACATGCTCAGCCTTTGGCTGTTACTTCCTCCTGCCTGTGAGGTATTTCTTTGCCTTTTTTTTCCCGTATTTAGCATGCAAGCCATAGAAAAGTTGATTTCTCACTGAGCTTTCTCATTCTCTCCCCTTTCTCCAGAGAGTCCTGACAGCTGTGAAAGGAGTGCAGTGGGAGAATGGAGAGCAAGCCAGCAGTGAATGGCCATGCTGCCCCCATCTCTCGCCAGGAAGACATGCCAGGAGCAAACCACTTGTGCCAGGACATATTGCCTTGCAAACAGAAAAAAGCAGCTGATGGGGATGTGACAGTGACAGATGCTTCTAGTGAGCCCTCAGAAGCAGCTGGAAGCATTGCTGGAGTGTATGTAGAGGCTTCGAAGAAGATAATGAGCTTTTATGATGCCACCAGAGAGCATCTTCTGAGTTTGGATTCGGCACTCTGTCTTCTCGAGGCCCAGGCAGCCATGGGCTTCATCACTGACCCAGTGAAGAATAGGCATGTCTCTGTAGCAGAAGCCGTGCAGCTGGGGCTGGTGGGGCTGGAGCTGAAGGAGAGGCTGCTTTCTGCAGAGAAAGCTGCTACTGGCTTTGTGGACCCCTACACAGAAGAGAAAATCTCCCTCTACCAGGCGATCCAGAAGGACCTGATCGGGAGGGAGCAAGGTACTCGGCTGCTAGAGGCCCAGATTGCAACCGGAGGCATCATTGACCCAGCCATTGGCTGCCGGCTCCCAGCAGATGTTGCCTGTGAGAGGGGATATTTAGATGAAGAGATGAGACAGCTCCTCTCTGACCCCAGCAATGAGGACAGCAAAGGGTTCCTCAACCCCAGTACTATGGAGAGGGTCACTTATATGGAGCTTATAAACAGGTGTGTTGTTGATCCAGCCTCAGGCTTCCTCCTCTTGCCCCTGCAAATCACATTCCCAGGGCTGGGAGGGAGGGTGAGCAGCAGGGATCTGCTGGACTCTGGCATCATCAGCCCTAACATGTTCAGAGATCTTGAGGAGGGAAGAATTTCTGCCCAGGAGGTAGCAGAGAACGACTCCATTCAGCAGTTCCTGCATGGGACAAGGAGTGTGGCTGGTGTTGTCCTGCCTTCCAGTGAGCGGAAAAGCCTTTATCAGGCACTGAGAGAGCATCTCCTCGTGCCTGGTGCTGCTCTGATGCTCCTGCAAGTCCAAGCCTCCACCGGCAGCCTGACAGACCCCATAAAGAACAAAAATTACTCAGTTGATGAGGCTGTCAGGGTCGGTCTCATTGGCCCAGAGCTTCATGAGAAACTGTCTTCAGCTGAGAGGACCATCACTGGATACAGGGACCCCTACACTGGAGAAATGCTGTCTCTGTTCCAAGCCATCAGGAAGGGCTTTATCCCCAAGGATCATGGCATTTGCCTTCTGGAGGCTCAGATGGCCACAGGGGGTATAATTGCTCCAGGTAGGCACCTCCGTGTCCCCACAGAGACAGCTTGCAAGTGGGGGTACCTGGATGAGGCCACAAGACAGCTCCTCTCCAGTGCTACTGATGACATGAAAGGGTTCTTCGACCCCAACTCCAAGGAGAAGCTGATCTACGCAGACCTGCTCAAGCGCTGTGTCACTGATCCCAACACGGGGCTCCTTCTGCTGCCACTTAGTGGAGACAACAGAGAAGGAGCCAAGGGAACCCACCTCTTCTTTGACCATAGGACCCAAACAGCTCTGGAAAACACACAGGTACCCATTGCTTTAGGTAAATTCAAGGGAAAGTCGGTATCTCTCTGGAAACTCCTTTTTTCAGACTATATCCAGGGTGAGCAAAGAGCTGCTCTCAGCCAGCAGTACCTTGCAGGAACGCTCTCTATGCAAGAATTGGGTAAGGCAGTCAGTGCCACCATTGAGGAAATGGCTTCCACTGCTAATGCCACCTTTGAAGGACTGAGGGACCGTGTAACAGCTGACCAGCTCCTGAGCTCTGAAATCATCAACAAAGATTTGTTTAAGAAACTGAAGGAGGGAGAAACATCAGCCAAAGAAGTTGTCAGCATGGACACTGTCAAGAAGTACCTGCAAGGGACAGGTAGCATTGGTGGGCTCCTGCTTCCTGACTCCCAGGAGAAGATCAGCATCTACCAGGCAAAGCGGAAAGGACTTTTAAGGCCAGGAACGTCACTGATCCTCCTGGAGGCACAGGCTGCTACAGGATTTATCATTGACCCAGCTGCCAACAAAAGGTATTCTGTGGATGAGGCGTTAAGAGCAAACATCATTGGCCCAGATGTTTATGACAAGCTACTGAGTGCAGAGAAATCAGTCACTGGCTACAGAGATCCTCACTCAGGGAACAAGATCTCCCTCTTCCAGGCCATGAAGAAGGAGCTCATCGTCAAGGAGCACGGCATCCGCCTCCTCGAGGCCCAGATCGCCACCGGCGGCATCATCGACCCCGTGCACAGCCACCGCATCCCCGTGGAGGTGGCCTACCAGCGCGGCTACTTTGACAAGAAGATGAACTTGATCCTTTCTGATCCCAGTGATGACACCAAGGGCTTCTTCGACCCCAACACACATGAGAACCTCACCTACATGCAGCTGAAGGAGAAGTGCATCACAGAGTCATCCACCGGGCTCTGCCTCCTTCCTCTGAACAGCAGGAAGCGCCAGTTCATTGATGACACCACCAGACGGGTGTTCAGGAGCTCCTGGCTGCTGGTCAGGTTTGGGCGGTTACGGGGGGAGAAGGTCTCTGTGTGGGATCTGCTAAACTCCGAGTACTTCAGCGAGGGGAGGCGCCGAGAGATATTCAACCATTATCAGCTGAGAAAGCTCACCTTGGAGCAAATTCAAATCATGTTAGAGGAGGAAATGAAAAAATGGGCCCCCATCAAGTTCCCAGCCATGAGAGGCAGTGTCAGCGCTTACCACCTGATGGAAACAGGTGTCATTGACAAGGCCTTGTTTGAGAAGGTGTTGGAGGGATCCGTCACACCAGAGGAAGTCCTGCACATGGACTCTGTCAGAAAGTACCTCTATGGCTCTGGCAGCATCGGGGGGATTGTGCTCCAGCCATCAAACCAGAGGATAAGCATTTATGAGGCCATGAAGAAAAATATCATGGTACCAGGAGTAGCCCTCCCACTGCTAGAGGCCCAGGCTGCCACAGGCTTCATCATTGACCCAGTGAACAACCAGAAACTCTGTGTGGATGATGCCATCAAGGAGGGAGTCATTGGGCCAGAAGTCCATGAGAAGCTGCAGCATGCAGAAGGGGCTGTAACAGGCTATAAAGATCCTTTCACAGGCAAGAAGATACCCCTCTTCCAGGCGATGAAGAAGGGCCTGATTGCTGACAAACAGGCTATGCAGTTGATGGAGGTGCAGATGGCTACAGGAGGCATCATTGACCCAACATGTGGCCACTATATCCCCATAGAATCTGCCCAGAAGCGAGGGTGCCTGGATGAGGACACAGCCAAGGCCCTTTCTAAGCCCAGTGACAACAACAGAGCCTTCTGCATCCCAGACAGCAAAGAGACGGTGACCTATGCCGAGCTAATCCAGTGCTGCCAGAAGGATGAGATCTCTGGCTTCCACTTGCTGCCTCTGCCACAGACAGCTGCTCATGCCTACACCAACGAAGAAATCCAACGGATTTTTAAGGAAACTGTGGTGAAGGAAAAAGGGTTGTCCCTCTGGGAGCTAATCCACTCTGGGTATTTCACTGAGGAGCAGAGGAGTGACTTTGTGGAGAGGTTCCGGTCTGAGGAAATGTCGCTGCAGCAGCTGGTTGCTCTTGTGCTCAGACTGGTTGGGGAGATGGAAATGAAAGCCCGCACACACATCACCTTGGAAGGCTTGCGGGGCAGTGTCCCTGCAGTCTGGCTGCTGGATGCTGGCATCATTACTGAGAAGATGTTTGAAGAACTGGCTCAGGGCATAAGAACTCCCGAGGAAGTGGCTGCAATGGAGAGGGTGAAGAGGTACTTACAGGGCACAGGCAGCATCGCCGGGGTATTCATAGAGGCATCCAAAAAGAAGATGAGCCTTTATAATGCCATGAAAAACAATCTCCTCCTCCCTGGGGCTGCTCTGAAGCTGCTAGAAGCTCAGGCAGCTACAGGATACCTAACTGACCCAGCAACAAACCAGAGACTCAGCGTGAGGGATGCTGTGAAAGCAGCTGTTGTTGGTGAAGAGTTCACTGAGAAACTCCTTCTAGCTGAGAGGGCAGTGACTGGCTACACAGACCCCTACACGGGGAGCTCCATCTCACTATGCCAAGCGCTCAGGAAAGAGTTGATTCCCCTGGGAGATGCTGTTCCCTTGCTAGAGGCCCAGCTGGCCACAGGAGGGGTCATTGATCCCATTCACCACCATCACCTTCCACTCCAGGCTGCATGCAGATATGGCTTCTACGATGAGGACCTGAACCAAATCCTCTCTCAGCTGAATGACAGCACCAAAATCTTTTTTGATCCAAACACAAAGGAAAACGTGACCTACCAGCAGCTGAAGGACAGGTGCATTCATGAGGCTGAGTCAGGTCTCTGGCTCCTTCCTCTGTCAGAAAACGCGATGTTCTGTGTGGATGAACAAACCATGGAGGTGCTGAAGTCTATGACTGTTTGTGTCAACATAGGGCGGTTCAAAGGACAGACAGTGTCAGTCTGGGACCTTCTCAACTCTGAATACCTCTCAGACAGCAAGAGAAGAGAGCTAGTGCAAAAGTACAAAGATGAGAATACTGAAGTGCTACATGAAATCATAACAATTGTCACCACAGTCATCAAAGAGACTGAGACACAAGGCAAGAAGTTTGCATTCAAGGGCCTGCGGAAAAGAGTATCTGCCAGTGACCTCTTCCAGTCTCAACTGATAGACAAAAAAACCCTCGATGAGCTCAACCAGGGGAAGAAAACAGTCAAAGAAGTCACTGAAATGGACTCTGTCCGCAGGTACCTGGAGGGCAGCAATTTCATAGCGGGGGTCCTTATACAGCCAAGCAATGAGAAGATGAGCATCTACCAGGCCATGTGGAAGGGCATCCTGAGGCCAGGGACAGCACTGGTGCTGCTGGAGGCACAGGCTGCCACTGGTTATATCATTGACCCAGAGAAAAACAAGAAGTTTTCAGTGGAGGAAGCATTAACTGCAGGTCTAATTGGAGGGGAGATTTTTGACAAGCTACTCTGTGCAGAAAGAGCCGTGACAGGCTACACTGACCCCTACACAAAAGCCCCAATGTCCCTATTTGAAGCTATGAACCAAGGACTGATTGTGAAGAGCCACGGCATCCGCCTGCTTGAGGCCCAGATTGCCACCGGTGGCATCATCGACCCCGTGCACAGCCACCGCCTCCCCGTGGAGGTGGCCTACCAGCGCGGCTACTTCAACCAGGAGATGAACCAGATCCTCTCAGACCCCACCGACGACACCAAGGGCTTCTTCGACCCCAACACCCATGAGAACCTCACCTATATGCAGCTCCTGGAGAGATGTGTCCAAGATTCAGAGACTGGGTTGTACATGCTACAGGTTGTACAGGAAGGAGGAAAGTACTTCTACATTGATGAGTTTACAAAACAGGTTTTGCGCTCAAAGCCCCTTGAAGTGAAATTTGGAAAGTTTAAGGACCAAACAGTTTCCATCTGGGAAATTCTCTGCTCTCATTACATCTCCGAGCAGAGAAGGAAAGAACTAGTGATGCAGTACAAATGCAAAACCCTCACATTGGAAGATCTTATAGCACTCATCCTCAAAATAATTGAGGATACAGAACAAAAAGCAGAAGCTCTCAAGGTTAAAGGACTCCGTGGGGATGTGTCAATATCAGAATTGTTTAACTCTGAGATAATTGACAAGAAAACTCTAGATCAGCTGCAGGATGGGAGTCTCAGGCTTGCCAGCCTCACAAAGAGGGACACCATCCAAAGGTACTTGGATGGCACTGGATGCATTGCCGGGGTTCTACTCCCATCAAGGAAAGAGAAGATGAGCATCTACCAGGCCCTGAAGAAGGGCCTCCTCACAGAGCAATGTGCACTGGGGCTGTTGGAGGCACAGGCTGCCACTGGTTTTCTCATTGACCCACTGAAAAATAAGAAGCTCACCGTGGATGAGGCTGTCTCGTCCGGGCTGGTGGGTAGCAACTTGCACAAGAAACTGCTATCGGCAGAGAAAGCTGTGACAGGATATACAGATCCTCATGGAGGTAATAAAATATCCCTTTTCCAGGCCATAAGGCAAAAGATAACAATCAAGGAGCACGGCATCCGCCTCCTTGAGGCACAGCTCGCCACTGGCGGCATCATTGACCCCGTGCACAGCCACCGCCTCCCTCTGGAGGTGGCCTACCGGCGTGGCTACTTGGATGATGATATGTTTCTCCTACTTTCTGATCCAGATCATGGTAGCAAAGGTTTTATAGATCCAAACACTCATGAGAAAATCAGTTACAGTCAGCTCCTACAGAGATGTTCCAAAGACAGAGATACTGGATTATACCTGCTGCAGATCATGGAAAAAGACGACGACTATTTCTACATTGATGAGCAAACAAAAAATGCCCTATTATCTACAAAGGTACAAATGTCAGTTGGAAAATTCAAAGGACATGTATTATCACTGTGGGAACTTCTCTGCTCTGAGTACATCACAGAAGAGAAAAGAAAAGAACTGGTGAAAAAATATAAAGAGGAATCCCATCACATTCTACAAGGAATCATTAATATAATACTAAATATCATTAAAGAAAGAGAAAAGGACAGAAGTGATGTCTGGTTCCAAGGACTCAGACAAAAAATAACAGCAGCAGAACTTCTCAGTGCACAGATAATTACAGAAGAAACAATGGAAAAACTCCATGAAGGAAAAGAGACAGCACAAGAAATAGAACAAATGGATAGTGTGAGAAGATACCTTGAGGGAACTGGAAGCATTGCTGGGGTGCTGGTGCCCTCCAAGGCCGACCCCGCCAAGATGGAGAAGATGAGCATCTACCAGGCCATGTGGAAGGGCATCCTAAGACCAGGGACAGCACTGGTGCTGCTGGAGGCGCAGGCTGCCACCGGCTTCGTCGTTGACCCGCTCGCCAACAAGAAGCTCTCCGTGGACGAGGCCGTCTCGTCCGGGCTGGTGGGCAGCGAGCTACAAAAAAAACTTCTTTGTGCAGAGAGAGCAGTAACAGGTTACACCCACCCATGCACAGGACAAAAGATGTCCCTCTTCCAGGCCATGAAGAAGGAGCTCATCGTCAAGGAGCACGGCATCCGCCTCCTCGAGGCCCAGATCGCCACCGGCGGCATCATCGACCCCGTGCACAGCCCCC